AAAGGATGATCCCCAGTGGGAGGCAGCTGATCAATGATTCTCTCTCATCATTGATGTTTCTGTCTCTCTCTCCCTCTCCCTTCCTCTCTGACATCAATAAAAATATATTTTAAAAAATAAAAAAAGATAAAAGGAAAGCCATGCCTACAGATATTATTTAATAATGTGACAAACGACAAAGACCCATAGCCTATCATTGCCAATTTCTTGATACAATAGCCAAAATTTATTCTCCTTGTTGCAAAATAATTGTAGCCCCAGCTAAATGGTTAAAGTATCTATAGATCCTGCACTGGAAACACCATTAAATCTAAGGGTTCAGGGTTCCATTTTGGTCAAGGGCACATGCCAGGGTTGTGTTCTCAATCCCCAGTAGGGGATGTAATTGTTTTTAAATTAAGAGTTGGTTAATGCAAAAGAATGTTTGTGTGGGTGAGATTCTCAGCAGTACACTAAAAAGTCTGATGTGATCCACACAAACTTGCTGCACCAGGAAACCCCCTTTCCTGTTCTGAGGAAGCAAAGCATTTCTCTTCTCCATCTGTCAGAGTCACTCACCTTGCAGAGCCCTGAAACTAAAGCACAAAGTATTTTGATCAAAGATGTTACTCCCCAACCCTCTAAAGGTGGTCATAGTTTTAATGTGGCCAGGCAGGGAGCTCCAGTGGTAATGAGTATCCTTTAAGACCTAAGGACCGGGGGTACACTAGAAAGGAAAAGTAGCAGGGTCTATAAAATAATTCCCAAGTCCTTCTTTTTATATTTTTTTCTTTCAGGATTCAGTATTGCCCAGAAGACGATTCAAGGCCAACAAGTAATACTGGTGCAGGAGAAGGAGGCTGTGAGCCTGGATTGCACATATGAAACCAGCATTACAAGTTATAATCTATTCTGGTACAAGCAGTTCAGCAGTGGGGCAATGATTTTCCTTATTCGTCAGGACTCTTACAGCCAGCAAAATGCCACAGGAGGCCGCTACTCATTGAATTTTCAGATAGCAAAGAGTTCTGCCAACCTTGTCATCTCAGCTTCACAGCTGGAGGACTCAGCAGTGTATTTCTGTACCCCGAGTGAGCCTACAGTTGAGAGGTGTGTTGGAAGGAGCAAAATCCCAGGACTTTCCTTGTTGCATCACCTGCTGTACTGACCAAAGCAGGGAATTGAAATCACAGACAGGAGGTGTCCACGGCTCTGGGAGCACAAGTGTAGGTAGAATTAGAGGGAAAACACTCTATGAAAATACCCGTCTACATTCATAGACTGTTTAGAGTTATCATTTATCAAAAACCTTCATATCCTTATAAATTTTGGTTGAAATTATTTATTGGAGGGAAAGATCAGCCACAATAGACAGCTTGCCATTTATTGACAGATTGAGCTAGAAGAATCAGCTTAGGAACTTTAGAAACATCTCATTATTTTAGAAACATCACATATTTTTTAAAAAAAATATGTGGAATTGTAAGATTTTTCTTTCAATTTGTTCAATAAATTTATTGAGTATTCTTTATTTTATAGGCATTATTTTTAATAAGAAAGGTTGTGAAATCTTTCTGTGATTTTCCTCTTTTTATAGGTTATACTATTTTATATTGTTTAATGAGTTATTTTGATTTAGATTTGCTAGGTGAGTTAAGATACACTCATTACTTTACAAGGCACCTACTATGTGACAGACTTTGTGTTCTTTCATCTCATTATCACTCTAGCATGGAAGAGCTCATTTCCATTATGTAGATTTACCACTTCCCACCAGTCTTACTAATAAAATGATCAATAATTAGTGGCTCTGGGAGAACATTGTTAAGAAGCAGAGTGTGAAGTATCTTTATCCACTCTTGCCATAACCTTTACTGCTCTTCTAAAAGCATTTTTTTTGCCATCATGTGACTCATGTCCAGACTCTCTTTGTTTAATGTTCCATAATTAAAAAAAATCTTCATTTTCTTCTATTTCCACCTCCCACCTCTAATTCTAATGCCATTCTCTCTGTGCCATAAAATGTGAATGGTAATGGATGTTTATTAAGTGACCTTGTATTGTAACTCACTCTTATATTTACATTTGGAAAGCAGATGTACACAGTAGAAATCTTTTTTAAAAGTGTCTTTATAAATTTTTATTAAAATGTTGCTATTTTAACATTTTTCTTTTTACCATTTTAAAATTTAAGAGTAAAATTGAGTGGTATTAAGTACACTTACATTGTTGTTTAAGAAGCAGCACTATCTTATCTCTAGACCTCTATTAATCTTAAAAAACTGAAAATTTGTACTCCTCTGTTTGTAACACTGCATTCCCCCACTCATCCCCTAGATCCTGGCAACTACCAGAGTTCTCATTCTATGAGTTTGACTAATTTAAACATCATAAAAGTGGAATGACTAAGTATTGTTATCTCCAATAAGGGTTTAATCTCTAACATTTACAGGGAACTCATACGTCTTGACAAAAGAAAAATAAACAACCCAGTCAAGCAACGAATCTAAATAGACACTTTTTGAAAAGGAACACATAAGGAAGGCCAAGAGACATATGAAAACATGCTCAAAGTCACTAATCATCCGAGAGATGGAAATCAATATGACAATGTGGTACTATTTTCACACCTGTCAGAATGATTATCATCAACAAATCAACAAATGAAAAATGCTGGCGAGGATGTGGAGAAAAAGGTACCTTAACTGCTGGTGGGAATGCAGACTGGTGCAGCCATTGTGGAAAACAGTATGGAGTTTCCTTAAAAAACTAAAACTGGAATTCCCATTTTACCTAGTGACCCCACTTCTAGGAATATATCTCAATAAACTAGAAACACCAATCAGAAAGGATATATGCACCCTATGTTCAAAGCAGCACAATTTATAATAGCTAAGATTTGGAAACAGCCTAAGTGGCCATCAGCAGATGAGTGGATTAGAAAACTATGGTACATTTACACAATGGAATACTACACTGCAGTAAAAAAGGAAGGAATTCTTACTGTTTGCAACAGCATGGATGGAACTGGAGAGCATTATGCTAAGTGAAATAAGCCAGTCAGAGAAAGATAAATATCACACGATCTCACTCATTTATGGAATATAATGAACAACATAAACTAATAATAATAATAATAATAATAAAAAACAGATCCAGAGACAGAGAAGCATCAATCAGATTATCAAAACTCAGAGGGAAGGTAGGAAAGGGTGAGGGTGAAGGGGAGAGATCAACCAAAGGAATGTATGTATGCATATAAGCTTAACCAATGGACACAGACACCAGGGGGGTTGAGGGCATGATTGGAGGTGGGTAGGTGAGGGGGCAATGAACACATAAGTAATACCATAATCAATAAAGGAAAAAAAAATAAAATAAAAAAGAATTCCTTCCTAGCATAGTTTTGTGGCTGGTTTTGACATAATTATCTGGGCCTGAATTTCTTAATTCACATACGGGAGACTATTCACATGTTCACTCAGAGGACTCATGAAGGCCCTTGATCTGAATCTATCTAGAAAGAACTACAGGAAACAGCCTGAACTAAGCTTCCATACCTGTGTCTAAGGATAAATGTTTGCAAGGCCTTACAGAAAGATGGGTCCTTCTCCAGAACTTTATCCTGATTATACACAAAATTTTTTTTAATAAAACAAATGAATGGTTATAAAAAGGGAACTAAAAGAGTGCTTGTTTTTGCACTTCATAAAAAAATAACTAGTTTTTAAAAATTTGTGTAGTCATAGGGACATTTCCTCATGTTGATCCCAGAGCTTTCTCCCTGAGTTTTGAGAATCACCTTGGTCTAGGACAGTTACAAGTGAAATCTTATAAATGGATTTCAGGCTCACTGTAATAAAAAGAACTTGGGGGAGCTTTAAAAAAAGCTAAAATATATGTTTTATAAAATTAGTGTTGAGATTCGAGTCTATATTTTTAAATTACTCGCACATTGATTCTTCAATCCGCTGTTGTATGAATATCAGCTGGTATATCTTTAACAATTGATAACAGATAAACAAGAGAGCTCTAACTTACACTCCAGGGTTTTGAGGCAAATCGACATCTCCTGGGTTCTCTTCCTATGGGGGAATATTAATTTATTCAAGTTTGGCCATAAAATATGGCAAATAGATGATAGTAGAAAGCATTTTTGTTATTAAATCTGCATTAAGGCTATAGGACTAGTATTCCTTGCCTGACTCACATTGATTAGCTATCTTAGAATGAATAAAACAGAGTTAGATTAAGATGTTGATGTAATATCGCTCTTTATTGACTTAGTAACTTCAAATACCATGTTTCTTCTTTTAAAAAGTGATAAAGAAATTCAGAAATATTTGACTATTGGTAAGATAGGTATTTTTATCTCCTGAAAAGAATTTATTAAAAAAATAGCATTTCTTAAAATTGGTAATATTTTAAAACTGAGGAAATATTGTATGTCATGTGGTAGTGAATCCTCAATGAAAGACTTTATTTCTGTTTAATTTATCAAATATTTAGTAGGCACATACTAAATGTCAATCACGCTACTATATTGGGATACAGTGCTGGATAGTGAAGAATCATTCAATAAAGACTTGACTTTTTATTATTTCCTCTGATTTCAACCTCATATTTTTTCTGACATTCAGTGGGCAGGATCACAATAGGTACATGAGAATATATAGTACTGAATTAATATGCTCAAGAAAATTGATTTTCTTCCAACGACAGAAATACCCTACATACTCTAAAAGAACATCCATGTTAGCTTTTGTCCTAAGATAAAATTCAACCAGACAGCTTAAGATAGCTGTTGTTCAATTTTCTAATCTCTACCTAAAGACTGATTGTTCCTCAACAAGTCAAGTCCTAGCTGAGAACATATTGCCACTTTGGGAGGAGCCCAAGAATCTTGCATCCATTTCATTCCCTATCCACCAAGGGGTGCAGCTCCCCAACACAAACATTTCCTGTGTGAAATACAGGCTTATATTTATCATTTCACTGTGACTTCAGTGTTTCTTCATGTTAAGAGTCAAGAAAATTATTCGGATGATACTGTAGAGATGAACTCATCTCTGAGCTTAGTGGCTGTGGTACTCTTACTGCTTGGTAAGTAATACACCTCTTAACATATGGATTATTTCTTCTATTATGTCAGCTGAATTCTTTAACTTTAATTTTATTGAAGAGCTTCATGCCCAAGGTGACAGAGTTCTGTTTTATTTTTCTTCAGGACAAACCCATGGAGACTTGGTGACCCAGACAAAAGGCCAAGTGACCCTCTCAGAAGGGGCTTCTCTGACTGTGAACTGCTCCTATGAAACCGCACAGTATCCAACTCTTTTCTGGTATGTTCAGTATCCCGAAGAGGGTCCACAGCTCCTCCTGAAAGCTTCAAGGGACAATGAGAAGGGAAGCAGCAAAGGATTTGTAGCCACATACCGAAAACAGCCAAATGCCTTCCATTTGGAGAAAGCCTCAGTCCACCAGTCAGATTCTGCCATGTACTACTGTGCGCTGAGTGACACAGTGACAGACACTGCAGGGGGAGCTGAGCACAGACTCTAAGCAGCAAGGAGAAGGCTTGGTGTTGAGTATCTATTACTGTTTGATTCACTATGTGGATTTTATTATTTAACATCAAATATAAATTTCCAATCTTTTAGGCACATTAATAGAGAGTTAGGATAAGTAAATCTCTATATACCATATGTATTTAAGACACAGGAAGGCTTTTTCCCAAGAATATTTTCCCATTGATTTTTATCTTATTTTATGGAGAGTGGGAGAGAGAGGGAAAGTCAGAGAGAAACATCAATATGAAAGAAACACATTGATTGGACCCAGGCTGGGGAGGAGTCTGGGGAGGAGTCAACCAAGGTTCCTATCCTTAACTGGAATAGAATGTAGGACCTTTTGGTCCTTAGTCCGATGCTCTATCCACTGAGCAAAACTGGCTAGGGCCAAAGGCAGGCTTTTATTTAGAAAACAATGCAATGAAACATTGATATAAAAAAGAAGACTTAGTTAAAATGTTTAAGATATTAGATGCACTGGTATTGATAGCATTGTAATTTAATCTAGTTATTACTAACTGGGAAGGAGCAAAAGGGAAGGCCAAATATTATGGGCATGCCTTTTTGGCAGCTTTACTTGAAAGCTGCAATTTAACATTCTCCAGGTCTGATACCCACAGATCCTAGGAAAAGGACAGAATAGGGTGGGCGATAGACATATGCCCAGTAAAGTCTGTCATTCACACCTGGGAATAAGTCATTGATGTGGCCACTGCAAGTGTGGGAAGATTTGTGATATTTCATCTCCTAAATGAAGGAGTTAGCTCTCTTGCTTGCATTCTTGGGACTCTTGTTGCAGGGGGCATGCTCTCCTGGGTCCCTTACATTTGCCCACATTGCTCACAGCCATGTGGGCTCCACACTGTGGGCTGATGGGCTGTAATTGGCCTAATGCTGAACCGGCCCCAGCTCCATATGGAACAGCACCTTTGGACACTGACTCTGCTTCTAGCTCTACTGAATCCCCAGCTGCACCTCTTCCAGGGCTGCATTAAGGGAAATGGGACACCGGAAACCCAAGGTTGTAGTTGCATGCAAATAAAAATCACTCATTCTCCCCTGATAGTCTCAGAAAATTATTTTTCTAGAGATATCATAAGAACCTCATTCCCATTAGCAATGGAGAAAGACCATCCACCATCCACACATTTCTCTGATAAAAGTATGAGTCCCAATTTCTCTTTTTGATGTATTTCATGTAAAAGACTATTAAAATTGACAGTAAATAAATGTGAAGGTTATAAGCAAGACAGTTAACCATGCCTTTATTCAACTTTTTACTGTCTTTGTGCACAAAATTATTACACACAATTTTGATGATGAGGGTTTTCCACCTTCTCCTAATGTGTTTTTAGAGTATTTACTAGTAGAAATGTGTGTTTACAAATATTATAGTTCATACAAGATTCTGAATTATAAAACAATGAAGGTTGAGGAACCACTGATAAAAATATAAAGGCTATTATAACTCCTTTATTGTCTGCTATAAAGGTATAACATTTTAAAAATTTTAATTTCATCCTTTTTTATAAATCTTAATTTCTCCTTAATATTTCAACTCTACCAGTTTTCTTTTTTTTTCTGTTTACTTTTTCCCCCCTGAATATTAATTTTTTATATATTTTTTCTTATTTCTTAGATTTCACCTTATAGGATTTAACTTAGTTCACTAACTTGGTGTTCTCTCAGAGTTTCCTTTGACTGGCCCTTCAGCAGCATTGGCCTTCCTTTGGGATATCTCTTTGGTGGGTGTGGCGGATTCAGTGGGTGGGCAGGTGGGAGGGCTTCAGTCTGTGTTCAGGGCAGCAGGAAAAATCAGATCCTATGTGTTCAGTTTTCTTGTTTTGTTTTTAGAATTTTCTCTTAAGCAAAATATAGCAAGAATTTTTATATCAATTTAATAAAATAATTTTTTGTATATGTTTTGAGTACTGGTATATTTAGATTCATTCCTAATATTTTGGTTTTGTTCCATAGGCTCTTCTTTCTTTTCTTTTCTAGTCTGTCTTCTGTGGCATTGATGAAATTTTATCATATATTCTTTTTATTTTTAAAAAAAATTATTTTATTGTTGACAGTATTACAGATGTCTCCCATTTTCTCCATTTCCCCTCTCCACCCAACCCACAACTTTCCATGCCATTGTCTTGTTCATGGGTTATGCATATGTGTATAAATGTTCTTTGGTTAATGTCTTCCTGTTCTCTTCCCCCACAAAACCGCCTCCGCTGAGACCTGCTATTCTATTTCATGCATCCATACCTCTGGCCCTGTTTTGTTCATTTTATTTTGTTCTTTAGATTCCACTTATAAGTGAGATCATGTGATATTTGTCTTTTTCTACTGGCTTACTTAACTTAGCATTGTAGTCTGACTTATTGTCTCAAAGGGTAAGAGATTCTTTTCTTTTACAGCTGCATAGTATGCCATTGTGTAAATGTATTACAGCTTTAACAAAATATATAGTTTTGGTTTCAGAGAGGAAGGGAGAGGGAGAGAGAAATAGAAACATCAATGATGAGAGAGAATCATTGATTGGCTGCCTCTTGCAAACCCTGGACTGGAGATTGAGTCCACAACTCCGGCATGTGCTCTTGACCAGAACTGAACTCGGGACCCTTCAGTCCGAAGGCTGACGCTCTACCCACTGAGCCAAACCAACTAGGGCTGTACCACAGCTTTTCATCCACTCATCTGCTGATGTACACTCGGGCTGTTTCTAAATCTTAGCTATTGTAAATAATGCTGCTTTATTTACATAGGGTGCATATATTCTTTCTGATTGGTGTTTCGAGATTCCTAGGATATGTTCCCAGAAATGGGATCTCTGGGTCAAAAGGCAGTTCCAGTTTTAATTTTTGGAAGAACCTTTATACTCTTTTCCACATTGGCTGTACCAGTCTGCATTCCCACCAACAGTGCACTAGGGTTCCCTTTTCTTCACATTCTCTCCAGTACTTGTTGTTTGTTAATATATTGATGGTAGCCCTTCCCGCAGGTGAGGTGAAACCTCACTGTAGTGTTAATTTGCATCTCTCTGATGATTAGTGTTATTTGAGCATTTTTTTTCATGGGTCTCATTTGCCATCTGTATGTCCTGTTTTTGCCCTTAAGTATGAAGTTGGCTGCAAGTTTGTCATATATAGAGGAACGCTGGTATAGGTCAATGTCAAATGCTGACTGTAACCAGCCTTGGGATGCCTGTCTAGAGCTACAAGTGATCCACAGTCTGTGATTGCCTCTGGCGGTGTAGGTGTGTGTGGGAGGGGCCAAGCTGTGTGCCAAGGTCAGCTTCCACCAGCTCCAAGCCCAGGGTCATGTCAGCAAAAGGCCTAAGACATACCCAGGTCACTTACACCTGAGGGTTTCCCTGCCACCCCCATGGCTGCCTGGACTTTCCTGAGAATCTTCCGAAGTCTCTAGATTAGGTTTAGGTTGCCTCATTTCATTATCTCTCTCTCTTTTTAAAATTTATTTATTTTTTGCCTTTTATTATATAGGATTTTATTGGGGTGACATTAGTCTACATGAAAATATAGGTTACATGTGTGGATTTCTAATTTACAAAATCTGATGCCCATCACCCAAAGTCAAATCTTCTCCTGTCACCTCATATCAGGACCTCTTTCTCTCCCCCCCCCCCCCCCCCCCCCCCCCCCCCCCCCGCCCGCCCTCTGGAAACCACCACACTGCTGTTTGTGTACGTAAGTTTCAGTTTTATATTCCACAGATGAGTTAAATCATATAGTTCTTAGCTTTCTCTGCTTGACTTATTTCACTTCATATAATGTCCTCAAGGTCCATCCATGTTGTTGTAAATAACACCATTTCATCGTTTCTTATGGCTGAGTAGCATTCCACTGTATATATGTACCACATCTTCTTATCCAATCCTCTATCGTAGGGCACTTTAGCTGTTTCTAACTCTTGGCCACCGTGAATAATGCTGCAATGAACATAGGAATGCATATCTCTTTGCATATAAATGATTCCGAGTTTTTTGAGTATATACCCAAAAGAGGGATTGCTGGATCATATGGTAGCTCTATTTTTAATTTTTCCGAGGAATCGCCAGACTGCTTTCCATAGTGGTTGTTTCAGTCTACATTTCCACCAGCAGTGAATGAATGAGGGTTTTTGTTTTTTTTCCACAACCTCTCCGGCACTTGTTGCTTGGCTTGTTGATAATGGCCACTCTAACTGATGTAGTTTTAATTTGCATTTCCCTGATTGCCAGAGAGATTGAACATCATTATATATATCTATTGGCTGTTTGTATGTCTTCTTGGGAGAGGTGTATTTTCAGGTCCTCTGCCCACTTTTTGATTGGGTTGTTTATTTGTCTGGTGTTGGAGTTTTATGAGTTCTTTATATATTTTGGAAGTTAAACCTTTGTCCGAGCTACTGTTTGCAAATATCATCTCCCATCTATCTGTATGTCTGTCTGTTTTGTTGTCTTCTTCTTTTGCTGTGTAGAAGCTCTTCAGTTTGATATACTAGTAGTCCCATTCATTTATTTTTTAGGTCAAATCTATGAAATGTTATTTACCACCCAGGTCCATAAGTTTAGTACCTATATTTTTTTCTATGTGACCTATACTTTTGGGTCTTATGTCAAAGTCTTTGACCCATTTTGAATTAATGTTTGTACAGGGGAAAAACTGCAACCCAGTTTCATTCGTTTGCATGTGGCTTTCCAGTTTTCCTACCCATTGGTCTATGTGTCTGTTTCTCTGCCACTACCATGCTGTTTTTTTGATTATTGTAGCTTTGTAGTATACCATATTTTCCAGCGTATAAGACGACTTTTGAAACGGAAAAAAAGCCTGCTCAGATTGGCCAGTCAGAGAGGTGGTCTATTAAAAAAAGAACTGGTGTTGCCTCGGAAGTGGGGGGTAGTCTTATACAGCGAATATAGGCCTAACCCTATGTTTTAACTGTAAAATTAGGGGGTTCGTCTTATACACCGGAAAATACAGTATTTTGAAGTTAGGTAGCATGATACCTCCAGCCTTGTTCTTTTATTTATTTATTTATTTATTTATTTATTTGGATTGCTTT